AAAGAGCGGGGGGGGGGGGGGGGGGTCGTGTTTTTTGAAGCGGTCGAGACGACGCTGGCGGCTTTCTTCCCTGCGTTTGACGGCGTTCCATGGCAAAATGTTAGGTTAGAGGTTTGCGCCGGTGTTGGGGGCGATTTTGGCGTTTTTTGCCGGGGGGGGGCAATAGAGGATAGCATTACTTGACAGTGCAATGGACAGGGGTGTGAAGAGCTGCCCCGCAGCCCTCCTGCTAGATTTTTGGGTTTTTTAATTTCATTTGCGTGAAGGCCTGCAACCCGATGCCTGGATGCCATCCACTTTTTGTATCTGTTGGCTAAATGAAAGGAACACCTATCCTTTCGAGCACGTTTCTCGCACCCTGTTGTCAACTGAACATCGCACGATTATTCTACCCGTGTACATCTGGTGTTCGAACCTATGTATCAGGTGTAGTCGACAGAACCACCCCCCTCCCTCCCTACCCCCCTGACTTCTGCATTCCGCGTAACCCCGGCACCCTTACCCCAGGTCCTGTAGCACCGGTATTTATATCTAACTTCCCTCCCCCCACTGCTGTTCTTCAGGAGCCCCATCTCCTGCACGAGTTCGACCAAGACTTCTACGGGGAGAAGCTGCACGTGCTGCTCTGCGGGTTCATCCGCAAGGAGCTGAACTTCAACTCGCTGGGTGAGAGCACGGCGGAGATTTTCGATGACGTACTATCTGTACATTACATACACACAACCCTCCCCAATCCAGTACGAAGAGGAAGAAGATTGGCGGTTCAATGTGTTATTTTGCCCGGCATACCGGAACGCCCGTGAGGCTAGGAGGGGATCGTAATGATCGAAGATCAGTTTTTAGCAAGGCTCGTTTGGCACCAACGGACAAGAAAAGGCGCCGCAAAATCGCAAACTCAAGCTGATCAGAGACCGGAACTACACCCAGGAAACTAAAGAGATGGTTAGACTGAGCATCGTCCTCGGCGCCGTAGATTTGAAAGCCATTCCGTAAAAACCACGCCACACATGCA